GAGTGTGTGTAGGTGCACACACGTGTGTGCGTGAGTGTATATGAGTGTAGGTGCATATATATAGGTGTGTGTGCATGAGTGTATAAGGGTGTGTATATGAGTGTGTGTAGGTGCACACACGTGTGTGCGTGAGTGTATATGAGTGTAGGTGCATATATATAGGTGTGTGTGCATGAGTGTATAAGGGTGTGTATATGAGTGTGTGTAGGTGCACACACGTGTGTGCGTGAGTGTATATGAGTGTAGGTGCATATATAGGTGTGTGTATGCATGAGTGTTTATGGGTGTGTATATGAGTGTGTGTGTAGGTGCATGTATGTGTGTGTATGAGTGTATATGAGTGTGTAGGTGCATATATAGGTGTGTGTGCATGAGTGTATGTGGGTGTTTATAGGAGTGTGTGTAGGTGCACATACGTGTGTGCGTGAGTGTATATGAGTCTGTATAGTTGCATGTATGTGTGTGTAGGTGCATGTGTGTGTGTGTATGGGTGTTACATGAGTGTATGTGGGTGTGGGAGTATGTGTTGCATCTCTACGCATCTTCCGAGTCCAGCCCCCTTTTTTTCCCTCCGCCATCCTGCCTCCCCTTTGAACAGGGGCATTCTCAAGTTGGAATACCTTTGGGGGTTGCAGCTCTTTGGTTGTCATCAGCCTGTGTCCAATAGTGCCCACCATCTCTACCAGAACCCAGCAGTGGTTCAGGTCCTTCCTGAGCTGGGACTTTGCTGGGCACCCCGTGCTCTGGGTGGTGTAAAGAGCAAGGGCATCCTAAGATGGTATGGATAGCTCTTCTCTGGCAACATCTTCCTCTCTTGGTCCAGCAGTCCCCAGCCTGTTCTGCTTTGAGACCCTGCGCTTGGTTTGGACACTATGTTCATTGCTCATTGCTGTTGGGGGCTCTCTTTTTCCAGTGGTTCCTGCGGAGCCCACAGACTCCAGCCTGACAGCTCTCTCAGGAGAAGGTGAGCAGAGGGGGACTGGCACACAACCCAAAAAACCATGTCTTGATTGTGCCACCTGCCAACTTGCTGGCTTCAGCTCTCCTGAAATGCCCCTGAGCAGCTTTGCTATGGAACTGCTTCAGGTGTGTTTCAGAGCCACTCCTATTCTTCCTGAGACCCAAGTCTCTTCTCTACTTCCCCAGCTTTCTCTCACACTCTCATTCCCACTCCTGTGGAACTGCCAAATAAAATGTAGGATGCCCACTCAGCTAGAGTTGAATTCCACATGAGCAACAAATACTTGTTTAGGATAAGTGTGTCCTAAATAGTGCACAGGACACACTTATACCAAAAAGTTATTCGTTATTCATCTGAAATCCAAATTTAGCTGGGCATCGTATATTTTCATTTGCTGAATCTGGCAAGCCTACACTGCAGGGAGATCAGTCTGCAAACCACCTCCACGGATGTTTGGTATTTCCCTCCTCTGTGACTGCTGTGGCTACAGCTACTCTAAGGTAGAAGCAGACGCCCTGGTACTGCTCACTCCTGGTCATCCTCCATGTGGCAAAGGGCATCTCAGCCCCAACGGCTCCCACACAGCCCTTGCCTTGGGGTCCAGGTCCAGAAAGAAAAGGAAATGTCACCCTCATCCAACCAAAGCTCCACCACACTTCCTGCCCAAGCAGTAACCATTCCCAGAATGACTGACAGCTGCAACTTCCATCCTCCTGCAGGAGTATCCCTAGCCCCAAACTTGAGGACATGCTGCAGGCTTCACAGCCCCATCAGACAACCACAAAATAGCCCCAAACTGGTAATTCTCTAAAGCATGAGTCCTTCAGCCTTAACTGTCATCACCTTGTGGCATGAAGAATTGAGAGTATTTGTCCCTGGGAAAGATGCAAAGGAACTGAGGTTTCTGGAGGAGTCTAAAGTCTCACTGGAGCAAGAGGGCGATGCCCACACACATTCACCCCCCACAACACACCTGTGGCCTGGGCAGTGCACACATGTGCCCTCCAGAGAAGGAGGCCACCTACATGTGGGCACAGAAAGTTAATCCCCCAAGTACAGGTGGGAGAGCTTGTGAGAAGAAGACACAAAGCTTGTCCCTGTTTTCACCATCATGTAATGAAATAATGATGTTTTAGAGTCAGGCAGATTTGGGGTCGAATCTCGGCTCTCCCATTTTTCAGTATTGTGCCCTTGTAAATGTGGTCTAACCTCTCTAAGCTTTGATTTTTTTTTTTTTTTTTTGTATAAAGCAGGGATTGGCAAGGTATTTTTGTAAAGGGCTAGACATAGTTACTATTTCAGGCTTTGTGGGCCACAGGATCTCTGTCACAACCACTCAGCTCTGCTGTTTCGAACCCAGAGCAGACACATGTAAATAAATGGGTACGGCTGTGTTCCAATAGATCTTTATTTACAAAAACAGGACAAGGGCTGGGACATAGTTTTTCAACCCCTGAAAAGGGATGATTATGCTCATTCTTTAGGGTGGCACAAGGATTAAATGAGAGCAAGCTTGGGGAGGGTCTGGACCAGCATTTTGTTCTAGGGTTTTGGTGTGGCTATAAAAAGCAGCACATACCATCAAATCAGATGCCGGATACAGGACAACTTGCTTAAAATATATAATCCTAATTCTCATACAGCCCTATGAAATAATTGCTGCAACTTCCATTTTAAGATAGCAAATTGAGATTCAGAGGTAAATTGTGACACAGAGCTGAGTGGCAGGACACCCAGTGGCTGGGATTTGAGGCCTCTTATGTTTTCGTTCTTACTTCTAGACCAAACTCCCTCTTAAGCTGCCTTGCCACAAGGAGCTGTTCCAACCAGGGGAGATAATGGCTCTCACTACCAAAGATGCTGTTCGCTGGTCTTTTTGCCCAACACGGGCCTGGCCCTAGTCTGGCCCCTTGTCTACTGAATTGAGACCTAACTGAGCCCCACCGTGGAGCCACACTCTCTGATCAGGTTGTACTGGGCCTTCTCTCCTCAGTCCTTGGCCCCCAAATCTGTTTCCTTTACAGGTGACCTCTGTTTGCTGTAGGCACCCAGCTGGATCAATAACTGAAGGTGGGCACTTTCTTTTCACAGTGGCTGCTGAGACCACAGCTGACAGACTGACTACTCTCTTGAGGACAAGTAAGCAGAGGGGACTTTGGAAGAAGACAGCATGGAACCCAGTGGAGAAATGCCATCTGAACACTTGTGTTGAGTTCTGGTGACCACTTCTCGACAGGGCTTAGAAGAATATTTCACAATATGTAGGAAACTGAGGCTCATGGAGATTAAAGTTCTGAGTCATTCAGCAAGTAGCTTGTCGGCCTATAAGCCCAGATTTCAGGCTGTAACACTGTTTTCTTTCCATCTCACAATAGTGACTCATGGAGAACACCATCTTATCTAAAAATATCTAGGCCAAAATTTCAGCAGCAGAATTAACCTAACCATTTACTTTGCTCATGCATAATACAAGCAATAATATAAAATTATATTATTATAGCCATGGATCTTTTATTAATAAGTATAAATAACTGATAACAATTATTTACTAATTACTAAGAACGAACAAGTAAGTAAATGGATTCTTTAGTAAGCAGGAAATGACATTGTTGAGGGCCTCCACGGGCCAGCATATTCTTAAGCCCCTTACATATGTTACTCCGAGTTATTTTTCCCTGGTCCTAGGAGGCCCATGATTATACCCATTTTACATATGAAGGAGAAGCTCTGAGAGGAAGGGCCATTTGCCCAGAGTAGCTCAGGTTAGAAGTCCTTTAGTTCTGAGGCTATAGGTTTTGCTTTTGAAGAGAACAATCTGCCCCAGCTGAGAATGGTCCAGATACTGCCTCTTTGACGGAGGTTTTGTATTCACCTCAGTAAACTTCAAAGCCTGGTTTTCGTATAACACCATCATAGTCTTGATCTTTGAGCACATTAAGTTTAAGACAGTTCCTTCCTTTCCAAAGAAGTTCTAAGCTGCCGTCTCTAGCTCTTCGTGGTACGGCCAGCAGTGAAACAGTAGCCTAGCATGGTGGTTAAGTGTCAACTTCAGCCAGGCTGCCTAGGTTTGCATCCTGCCACTTCCTAGTTCTGTGACCTTGAGCAAGTGACCTAACTTTTCTGTGTGTCTCCTTTCTCATCTCTGAATGAGGGTGAGCACAGTATTACCAATTCATGGGGTTGTCGTTAAGTGAGTTAATACTGGCAAAGCACTTAGTGCTGTGTCTGGCATGTAGTAGGGACTTCATAACTGTTAAACAACAACAAGCTCAATTTGCAGAAACACTGAGGCTCAGCAGTTTTCCTGGATCACAGAGTAAACAACTTCAGTCACACAATTCTGCTGTCTCTGTACTGCACGCTCCTCTGTTCAAAAATGTGATGTTCCTTTAGTGTTTCTTTTTTCCTCCAAATTCTGGAGAAGCTGGCATTCCCAAAATATTTCAACAGACTCACCAGCTTCCAGCCTGATGAGCTGCAGTTGTGTTTGCCAGCGAACCTGTGTCTGGGGTTTCCCTTTGGCTCAGCAGCGACTCTGGTGTCACTAGCTCTCCCAGGAAATCTCATGGTGGGAGGCGGATCAGGGACAGAGTGGAGAGCACAGACCTCCAGCACCCAGTGGGATGTGAGGCACCTCTGGAAACTAAGATGGGACAGGTGGGGGTAGACACTCACCCTGTCTCTCTTCTTTTGGGGGCAGAACCAGGCCAAGATCAGGAAAGCGTGGAAG